GTGTGGGACTCTAAACTGGCTTTAAGGTTATAATAGTGTCTTTTTCTTAGGAGAGAACACATTTTGTTATGCTTTGCTTTTAACTGTCGAGTGCTAGATGTTTTAAAATAAATCTGTGGGGGAATCACCCTTCCTGGAGTGTATTGGAATGCTTGATGATAAAAGAACAAAGCCAGAATAACTAAAATAGGACAAATATTGTGGAAGATAGTTTTGAAAAGTTTCTATTTGCCTTGTGTCAGGACTTAAGAGAGCAGGAAGCCTCCTGTGTCATCAAGTTCAGTCCCTGTTACCACAGTCACAAGTTCATACAGATAATCTGTCACATAATATGTGTTTTTTTCTGAGAGTGTGTTATGATTTATATGTTTATATGTTATAAATATTTTTATTTTAGTGGAATTTAAATTAGTCACTTGTGGATGCCAGGGGAATTTATCTGCAGCAGCATTTCCAGCATTATAAAACACCCTCCAGCTTTTTCTTGCTGAATGTGTCACTCAAAACCAACATTTTGATTGTGGCTTTCTGTATGTGTTGCAGTGCAAGTGTCTCCATGTCATGTTCCTCTCTGACCCAGTGCCAAAGGGTTAGGAGTAGGAATGGACACAGTTTAGCACCAGAAGCCTTGATACAGGAAAACACATTGTTTTCCTTACCTGAGCAGGATTCTGGAAGGAAGAAGATGGGAATATTAAGATCAAATTGTAAATTTAGCTTTGGATGTGATTGTGGAATCCTAGATAGCTATGGCAGGAGAAGAAAACTGAAGTCTCATGCAACTATTTGTTCTTGCACTGGCTTCAGGGAGATGAACGGAGTGTGTGTGTTGTGTAATAAAAGTAGAATGAAAATTGTTAGCTATATAGTTCCAATTGCTTTAACTCTGTTTAGTGCTTTTATATAATGTTGCTCTTTATTTTGATCAGAGGTTGCTGAGATATAATTCAGTTGAAGACTAACTTACTAATTAATTTTAATTAGTCAGATAATCAGTAGAGCATTTTTCAGTCTTTTTATCCAGACACAGAGATAACTGTGATCTTCTCCAGGTTCTTAAACTCACTAGCAATTCCTTCTTGCAAAGTGCTTCTCAAGGCTCTAGTCTGCATCTCTTGGCTCTTCAGGCATCCTGTGATGTGAATTCCGTGATTCTGGCCACACAATAAAACAAAGGCAAAGATTGTTTTTTCTCCATCAGGATAAGCTATTTGAATATTGCTTAATAAATTTTGTCATCTGATATCTGGAGGGGAAGAACAGCTGTATCTCATGCCTTACAGGAAAACAGGTGGGACCAATAAAAAGAAAGATGAGTCAAAAATCACACAATTATTTTGTGCTAGCTTAATGGCTGTCTTGTTCTGCCCAAAGGTAAAGACATAGTTATCAGTGCCATTTATCAGGTACACCATTTTAGTATAAACTTGTTTAAAACTGGGTAGAGCCCCTTTTTCATCTTAATTAGACAGTAACCCATTGATTCCAAGTGGGCCTTCATTTTCTAATTATTTAGTACATAAGATAATGTCATTAAACATCTTTGAGTGGACAAGATTGCTCTAAAAGCTTTAGCTCCAGAGCTCTAATATTAGGGTTTTGGCATTCATCCCTGTGTGTGAAAAGCAGTCAGTTTGTTTACCAGGAATTTAGATTCACATTACTGGGGGAATTAGCAGTGAGCTATTAGTCTGATTGAAGCACTTAACAATTGCTGATCATCTCCTCCTAGCCTGGGGATAATGGAGGTGATCAGCTGTAAATGGAAGGTATGAGGGCTATTTTCATGAAGGCACTTGGAGAAAGTGCTGTATCCCCTGACCTCTGCTGGCCCTGGGGTTTGCAAGAAACCCAAACACCGAGTGGCTTCCTGGAGGAGAGCTAATCACCTATAGGAAGAGCTTCCATTAGAGATTGAAACAAGCTCAGCCTCAACAGACCCCTCCTCATCTGAAAAAATGTTCAGCCACAAAATCCCTGAGGCAGAAGGGATTGTCTGTACCAGCATCTGGCTGGGTGGGGGAAGCAGCTGAACTGGAGCTCAGTGGTGCTCCTTGGCTTCCTGCTTCCCCACTGTTGACTTTCTCTGCTTCCTTGACAGATTATTCTGAAAGTTTTCCTTCTTGTTCTTGTGTAACACTGCCTGCGATTTTAGTAAATTGAATGACTTGAGACTTTTAGAATGTATTTAAAAAGGTTATTTGTAGGTACTGAACCTGTGGCATTCTCTTGTCAACTCCAAGTTACCTTTTATTGCCAGCAGATTTTAAGAGACGTGCCAGGGATCTGTAGCCAGGAATTACTGTTCAAAGTAAAGCTTAGCTTTTTCCTGATCTGTGATAGATATTGTGTTCTGCTTTAAAAGGAAAACTGCGGTCACTGGATTTTCACTGAAACACATTTGTTGGAGGTAGTAGGAATTATTTTAATGAGACAAGGGGACAGTAATTTTGGACTGCTGAATCCAAGGCTTATTTCTTGGATCACTTTGCAAGAAGTGTACATTGCTTCTCCCACTTGTCACACAAGAAACAACTTAACACAATGACTGAGCTCTCTGCTGTAGAAGGACTGTTCAAATGCCCTTTGTAAATGCTACATGAGACCATGTGAAGGGATCTAAAGCTATGTCAGAGCTCTAGAAGCCACGTGTGAAGTACCTGACAGTGAGTAATGTCTGTAAAAGTTGTTAAGATTGCTTTGTAAGAGATTCTGTTCTTTAAATTTCTTTCCCCTAATGCTTCTAGCAGCAGAAGACAAGGAGTGTAGCTTCTGTTAAATGCAAAGGCAGGCAGGAGACTTCTAGAGTTGCAAGATAAATTTTATTACTGAGATTTGGCATTATTTTACACTTCTAAAAATAATCTACAATTATAAGGTTCCCTCCTTGTATATGCTTGCTAAGAGCTCAATGTTAAGACTGTCGGGATAGAGAATTTTTATTAGATTACTTGTGTATTTAGACTGAAGATACTCACGTGATGTTGTATTCCAGTTTCTGGGGAAAAGAAGCTGAGCAGTTTTTGTAAATTGATCTGTAGTATGGTTAGTAAGAACTGTTCTGAATGGGTTTAGGTAACTGTGCCAGTCTTTGGACATCAGTGGTGCTAACATTGGCATGACATTTCTAGTAGTCATTGTACTTGTGCATGCATGTCTGCTGTGTAGTTGCATGAGGTATCTGGAGATCAGGTGTTACAAAAATCCAAGCAAAAATGGGTTTGTGCTCAGAGCAGTGTGAGTACCTGTGAATGCAGGTGTACCTAGAGGTGAATTTTGTTTGCAATTATTGATGAAGAAGACTTAAGAGGCCCCCACGTATATAAAGGTGCATATCTACATACAAGAGACATAGGACACTTGGAAAAAAACCCAAGCTGACATGTTTTGCTTTAATTTCAGTCTAGAGCAGAATTTGAGTGTCAAGTGTTTTCCTATGTAAATCAGGACATGACAGGAGGCTGCAATTGTAATGAAGAACCCTCTTAGCCAGGGTATGGGGCTAGAAGTCCAAGGTGCCTGGAATAGGAACAACAAAATGCTAATACCTTTATCCACATCAACCTGTCTTAGAGCATTAAAGTGAGGAAAGATGACAGTGGAGATGAGTGGAAGATGAATACAGTACACTGTAGGTATGTTACAGACAGCTCAGGGAAATCTACTCCATTATTCTCAAAATACCCTCACTGATCTGTGGGATATTGGAAAGAACAACCTTGTCTTCCCTGTCATTCTCCACTAAATTCTGGAGATGACAGATGCTATTACACTAGTTGAGAGTCTTGACCATGGAGGATGGTCTAATGTATATTCTAATATGGTAACATGGACTCTGTTTTCATTAAAGAATGGTTGCAAACATGTAGAAACAGTGCTGCCTCTGGATCCAAATAGCCTTATTTCAGTAGGTAATCAGAAATACTAGCATTCGTACTCCTCTTTATTAAGAAGACAAGATATTTGCTCCTACTGCATGGAAATAGGATGTTGCTTCTCTGTGCAACAGAGGAGATGGTTCAGCTCCACACAGTGACTTCCTTGTTCTACCTGCCCAGGAAGTAGAGAGAAGGCTGGAATTTGAAATGGAAGTATAACCACTGCAGAAAGACAATTACTCTGACAATTACTAATCTATTACAGATTCTGTAATGAGAAGGTGTCTGACAGTGACTGGGAACCATGGCATGTTACCTAGCTGATGCTTCCCTGGCAACAGATCAAGCACAGTGTAAAAAGAAATACCCACCCATTCTGCATCTGTCAGGACGTGACAGTGTTTGGTGGTGTGTAATGTCCAGGTCTCCTGTGCCTCAGTGTGAGCAAGGAGCACTGCACATGTGCATGGAGGAGCTGCCTTGAGCTGAGGTTCCAGCTATCCTGAAAGCACAGGCTGGCTGGTGAGGCAACTCTTGCACACAATTGATTGTGGACTATTAACCTATGCTCAGAAATCAATATATACTTAATATACACTTAACACCACATTTTAACAGGCAAATGCAGTACAAAATAACCACAGTTACACAGTGCACACGTTTACAGTCAGAATAAACAGATCATGAAATACAGCTTGGCAGAGAAGATCAGGCAGGCAGTGCAAAGGGGACAGTGATGACTTCAGAATGTGGATAGGTACAAGGTAGTTGCAGCTCCCAAATATTTTTGCAATGGAATGTTCCAGGGGTTTTGCAGTCAGTACAGTTTCAATATATATTGAATTATTCTCTCAGCATGACTGAGAAGGTTGGTCCTAAGGCCAGGCAAGGTCATCCTTTGTTAGACAAGACTAAACTTATTGGGACTGAGCACAGAAGTTCATCTTAACCCACAAAACCCAAGTCTGTTGCTAGCTGTGACAATGGATAATATATGTTGCAAGAGGCAAACCAGAAAGGAGCAAGAATATGAACTGTAGTGTCCTTGACCTGGGATGGTATTTTTCATGAAATTAATGGATTTTAAAAGGGAACTGAAAGCAATTCAGAACTGGTGCCTACCAGGACTTTATATTTATTGAGATCTACTTGCAACCCACCCTGGAGCCCAGACTCTTCAGGATGGTTTGCTGTTCCCTGTGCCTGGACAGGCTTGAGGAACAGACCCATAGGAGCCTCATGAAGTTCAACAAGGCCAATGGCAAGGTCCTGTGCCTGGCTGGGACAATCCCTAACTTCAGAGCACACTGGGGCATGAGTGGAGTTGGAGCAGCACTGCAGAAGAAGATCTAAGGATCCTGGTAGATGAGGAATCAGAGGCAAGGCAGCAATGTGGGCCTGCAGCCCAGAAGGCAGAATTGTATCCCGGGCTGCATCAAAAGCGTCGTGGCCAGTGGGTTGAGAGGCAATTCTGCCCCTCTGCTCTGCCCTCCCTGGGGTCCTGTGTCCAGCCAAGCACCAGGCAGACATGAGCCTGTTTGGGCAGGGGCAGAGGAGGCTGCAAAGGTGATGAGAGGGCTGGAGAACCTCTCCTGTGACAAAAGGCTGAGGCAGTTGTCAGAGTTTGGCCTGAGGAGAGAAGGCTCTGGGGAGATCTTGTTGTGGCCTTTCAATAGATGAAGGGGGATCACAAGAAAGACAGGGACTTTTTGCCAGGACAAGAGGCAGTGGTTTTAAACGGATTTATATTGGACATGAGGAAGATATTCTTTACTATGAGAGTGGCAAGACCTTGACCCAGGTTGCAAAGAGAAGCTGTGGCTGCCCCATCTCTTGGAGAGTTAAAAGTCAGGTTGGATGGGGCTTGGAGCAACCTGGTCTAGTAAGAGATGTTGCTGCCCGTGGCAGGGGGTTTGGACTAATTGATCTTTAAAGGTCCCTTCCAACCCAAACCATTCTAGGATTGTATGCCTGAGGAAAAGCTCCAGAAGATGGGGTGGCAGGATACACTTAGTCAGGTCCCTCCCTGCAGTCTGAAACAAAACCCTGCACAAATTCTGACAGAACTTGGAGCTTTGTTTTAAAATACTGCACTGGAACACTATCCTGGCTGTCACTCAGAATGCTAACATGGCAGAAGCAATGGTGGACACCACATCTGCAGAGCTCAGTGCAAACTGACTGGGGAGAAGCAGGGTGCAGGTTGTGAGGAGGCTTTTAGTGACTGTATTAGGCTGTTTCATTCCTCTTTTTTGAAAGGTTTCCATTTCCAAAAGGTAGTTCAGTAGTGGGAGGTGTCTGCATATGGAATAAGATTAAGACTATGGGAATGAAAGATGCCATTTATGCCAAGTTAAAGGGGGCTCAGCAATAGAGGCAGGAACAGAACCAGAGATGGCCAAGAAACAGCAGCTCCAGAATACACAGAGGAGGCCATAGGCATACTGCTGTGTTCAGAGATGTCTTGCTGTGTCTTCCCTTCAGCCACCTAGGAAATGAGAAGGAGGAATGAATCCCAGTTAGACACATCTCTGCTCAAACATCTGGCTGCAGAACCTCCAATCTGAGCACTGATGTAGACCATAGGAAACTCCTGTGGCCAGGCAGCACAGCCTCCTGTTCCTGCTTGTCTGGAAAGGAACAGCTTGAGGTAACGTGGTCCAGAATTCTACAGGTGGTATCCCTCACTTTGCAGTCCAGGATCTCACATTTCTAGATACAAGGTTTTTCAGCTACTGTCTCTAGGTTACTTGTCTCGCTGCTTTGTGAAGGCAACAAAGCAATGCATACCTGGGACATGTCTGAAGCAAGAGATGTGCTGGCACTGTCTCCTTGGAAGCTTAGGGAAGATGAATAAAATAAGTCTTCCTGTTGTTCTAGAGCTGCCTGCTTCAGGTGCATTTGAGACCAAATGGTATTTTCTGCAAACAGAAGCAGAGCAAGAGTCTTATTGTGCTTTTCTTGATCACACCTCAGAATCTAGTGAACTGAAGCCTAGGGAAGCTGTTTTAGGAAACACACTCACACGCTGTTCCTCTTTGATTTAGAAAATACCTTTCTCTGCTCAGTGAATGGCCTGTTAGTTTGTGGATTTATTTGTGAGGTGGAGCAGACTGCAAAGGGAATCTGCAGTGTTCTTAGGTCCTTCTGGGATTTCCCCAGCTGTCTGTTTTGTAAGGAGCAGGTATGTGGTATCTCAGATGGGATGTTTAGGTTGTAGGTGTATCTATAGTGCTGGTTGTAAGGCTTTTCTATACAGCAGGAGGTAGTTTTAAACATTAATAATTTATCTAATGATGCTGGTTTCTTTAATATTCTTTGGAAGCTTCTACAAACATAAAATATTTAAGTCTTATTAAGGTCCATTACTAAATGCTAGAGAGATCACATAGACACTGCAGAAGAAGACAGAGCCCTATGCAAAAGCAATGCAACGTAGGATCTTTAGATCAACAGGATTTAATTTCCCTATGCTGAGCTGTTTCTCTGATTCTGTGATATGATTGATGCTTACCAAGGCATTTGTTGCTCTCAAACATGCTGAGTATCTGGTCACACTTCTCCTTCTGGTTGCCGCTGCTCTCACACGTGCACCACAGGGAAACCTCCACGCTGGAGTTGCTGACATAATTGGGTGTCATAGGTGTGCCTGTCCCAAAACCCCAGAAACTGGAATCAGAATTTACTTCACCAAATGAAAGAAGCATCATGAGTTCTGCTGCACTACAGGGAGTGCTGCCCTGGAGGGAAAAGCCTTCAAGTCAGGAGCTCCTGCAAGGTGACCCAGGCCTGCTGAATCAGTCTGCTGGGCTGTGAGTCTAGACATGGCTGTCCCTCGCCCTGCTGGTGCCCTGGGGCTGGTGCAGGCACTGGGCTGAGGGCTGTGCACCCTGCAGTGCTGGCACAGGGCAGTGTGGGGTGGCCAGATGCCTTCTGCCAGAGCTGAGCTGCACTCCTGGAGGGTCCCAGGCAGAGTCCATTTAGCACTAAACAGCAAAGACATCTGGGAAACTGGAAGGTATAATCTAGATTTACCCTGATACCAGAGTTGCCAGTTTATTATAATCTGTCTTCCAGTGTTCTTCATTTGCTGGACTCCCATAGGGAGCAGGCATGACTTAGTTCATACAGGCCCAGAGACCCCATTGGTCGGACCTTTAGAGTACTCTGCACCAGCTGATGATGCACAAAGGTGTTAAAAAATCTCAGGCAAGTGCTGCTGATTTGACAGGAGAAGACGGGACAAAGTAAAGCAATAAATGCTACGGAAGACCTCGCTTTGGGCTGCCTGTACCTCAGAAGCAAGAGGGAGCACTACCACCAATCAGCTAAGGCATACTGGTATACTGAGCACAATCTCCAGCAGGAGAGCAAGATGGGCCTTCACAGCATCAGTGTGCCTCCAAGTTTGTGTCCTCAAAGCATCCACCCTGTACATTCCTGAGGATGTCACTTACCAATCATCCCCATGTAAGCCTGCAGGCATGCAGCATGGTTGTGCTGAGAGCAACCATCTGGAGACGTGTCTGCAGGTTGACAGTTCTGTTGAAAGTCAGCCAGTCGGGATCTGCAGGAAGGAAAATGAGACTATCAGTGTCTATGCTGTTCTTCTCTTGGCTAATGTCTGCTGCTGCTGGACCTACTTGCAGATATGATCTTCTAAGCAGGAGTCCAGAAGCCAGAGGCAGTTGGGTTTGGTGTTATACTGGAAGGAACAATCAGGAACAATAGTTTTCCGGCGTCGTTCTCCACAAAGTTCATCTTGACATGGGCAGAACAGGATCCTTTTGGTGAAATCCTCAGGGACTTTCTCAAAGAAATTCCTTAGGCCTCGGTGGCATTTGCGGCGGTCACACGTGTCCTCACTGCCTGCCCCCTTCGTGCAGATGGAGGCGTAGTCTGTGCGCAGGCGAACGCACTTCTTGCTCAGATTACAGACGTGAGTTGCTTTCAGGCATGGATTTGTTGCATCTCCTGCTATCTCTGATCCTATCAAGCCAAAAGAAACCCAGAAACAATGAAACAAGTCTGCAGAAGAGATGCTGTGTGGAGCAAGTAGCCCTTATCGTGATGGTCAGTTTGGGAAAATCAAAAAGAACAAAGCAAATCAGCCCTGCTGTGTGCCTGGAGTATGAGACTGCAGTTACATTAGCTACAAAATCATACTTTTTATTGGTTTGTGTTAGGGTCTTTGTCTCAGAGGCTGCATCATTGTGGATTATTCCCTGTTTCACAGGCCTGGATCTATGACTAAATTTACACCTGGTAGGGGAGGATGAATTTAGGGAAGTGTATCCAGGCTGGGCATTCCTCCGATTAAAGGGGCCACCACCCCAAATAATTCTTAATAATTTTCAGCCCCTGAAAATATAAGAATAGGCAGCATTATATCATGTAACAATGACGTACAATGTAACAATCCTTACCTGATACCAGAGCTGCCAGTTTATTATAATCTGTCTTCCAGTGTTCTTCATTTGCTGGATTCTCATAGGGAGAGGTCTCCAAATTGAAATAACCTAGGCAAGATACAATATATTTTATGGAGTGGGACAAATGCTTTGGGACCAGCTTATTTATTTATTTATTTATTTTTCTCATTTGTGCCTGCTTGTTTCCTCAAGCTGAAGTTCAGAGATGCTCTGTCTTGCTCAAAGACAAACGCCACGAATGGTTCTGCTAGAAATGCAGAGGTATTACTGTACAAAAAAAGCATCATGTTTTGTCATTAGATTTCCTCTGGCTGGAATTTGGTCTGTATTGTCATTTGGTTGTTTTCAGCCTCAGAACTAGTAAGGAGATGTGCAGAACAGGCAGCCTTTAATGGGATGCCAAGAAGAAGCATCTCACTAAAGTTGGAAAGGTGTAGCATGCTCAAGGATGCCACTTGTGTGTCATAATCACACATCTGAGCCAGCAATGTGCCCTTGTGGCCAAGAAGGCCAATGGCATCCTGGGGTGCATTAGAAAGGGGGTGGTTAGTAGGTCAAGAGAGGTTCTCCTCCCCCTCTATTCTGCATTGGTGAGGCCGCATCTGGAGTCTTGTGTCCAGTTCTGGGCCCCTCAGTTCAAGAAGGACAGGGAACTGCTTGAGAGAGTCCAGCGCAGAGCTACTAAGATGATGAAGGGAGTGGAACATCTCCCTTATGAGGAGAGGCTGAGGGAGCTGGGTCTCTTTAGCTTGGAGAAAAGGAGACTGAGGGGTGACCTCATCAATGTTTACAAACATG